TGAAGCTTTTTTGTTGTTTCGGTCTGCCTGACGGCCGACTGGCTTGATTCAATTTAATTGCGTTCCTGGCTCCACTGTCAATCTCTTCGTGCTGTCCAAGTTCGTGAATGCTACAGTCCAAATCATGCATTCGCTTAGTCGAATTTGTTGACGTTGTTTTCGACTGAGTGTTTCTTTTCAACCCCTTGCCTTTCTGCTTATCTGTCACCGTCTTGCCTACTACGTCGCTTGGTTGAATAGAGCTACTACCTGCAGTGTTAGGGATCCAGTCACCGTCCTTGTTGGTATTGGTGATCATATCACCATCGCTGTCCGTGTTGGTCAACGTATCACCACCACCACAGTTAGTGATGGTGATCGAATCGTTGCTCGCACCTGTGTTGGTGATCTTATCACCGATATTGCCAACATCACAGTGTACTGTAATCTTTCGATTGGCTTGCTTTTTTTTACTCCACATGCTGCTGTCTGGATTAGTGGACCATCCTCATCGCAGACCCATTCCTTCGATTTGCTCCAAATAATCACACCAACTCGGAATGCTTCGTTTGCCCTTATCTGCCCCCCCCCTCCGCTATCAGCTGGCAGACTTCAAAGACAGTCCAGTGCTTCTTGATCTAGAATAGAACACGTTTCTCTTCGTCGTGTTTTACATCCTCCACGACGTAGCCGAGAGTGCCTTTTGGAGTGTCATCTTCACTACTAACCTCTTTTCGTCCTCGCTGCAATCACCAACAAGTATCCACCTCGTTGGGATGGAGACGAATGGAGTAGCAAACGGATGGCTAGACGCCTCACGTCTCAAGAACATATTATGCCGACGTAAGAGCAGGAGAGTTTGATTGAACATGCAACTACATGTATTAGACTCCAAGCTCACAAGAAATTCAAAAATAGACATAGAATTCTCAGCTAGAAATTAACTCCAATTTTCTCCGAATCAGGTATGCTTACCGCGTATTGGTTCAGCGATGTAGTATTTGCCAAGATGAATATCGTTAGTGAAGTTTTTTCTGACTCGATAGTGTAGTCAGCTTCGTTGCTTGTCGTATACTGACCTCCCACCTGATCGCAGGTATGATGCGTTGCGATCCCCGCCAAAGTTCCTCGTCGTAATCAGTGTTGTACCTAAAGCCAACGAGCCTCAACTTCACTCGATACTTGCCCTCATCATTCTGTTGTAGGAAAAGCAGGTGGTCAATGCATTCGTCCATGGGCATGTGGCGATCC